CACACACACACACACACACACACACACACACACACACACACACACACAGAGAGAGAGAGAGAGAGAGAGAGAGAGAGAGAGAGAGAGAGAGAGGTCGACAGTACTTGTGCAGATGCCCACAGTCTCGGTGGGAGCACCCGGCACCACCCGCCGAGACTCTGGGCCTCGTTAAACACTCCTTACGAGTTCCTTGAGCCACAAGGAAATGTCCTTGTGTTTTTTTAGGGGAATTTGCGGCGTCGTTCCACTCATCCTTGGGGACCTCCCCCGAGGATGTTTCCTTGTGGCTTCCCCGCGGCCATTTTCATACGTAAATTAGCGGCCGCGGGGTCGGTCACTGTCGTCCTTGGTCCAACTTCTTTTGTCCGTGTGGAGGCGGCGTGGTCCAGCGACGCGAGGTGGGAAATGGCAGACGGCGGGCGATGCGAAAAGAAATTTAACCCCAAGGGCGTGGCCATTTGAAATTTGAAATTCGAATGACTGCTGCGATGACGACGACGACGTATGGCTGGCGGCACGAGGACGGCGTTCTGCAGAAAGGGGCTCAGCGGCGGCGGAGGTTCCGTCCCGAGGCCGTTGCGAGTGCGCGGGCAACGTGTGGTGCGTCCATCGCCGTGGACCTTTGCACACGTCGACTGCGCCTTGCTCCTCGTTTCCGTGAGTGGGGCTGCAAGCAGAGAAAAAGGGGCCACCTTTCGACGGACGTCTTCGTCTTCTTCGTCGGGTGCGGAAGGACGACATAGACGGCAGCGGAAAGACGTGGAAGAAGACAACGACGAGAAGCAGCACGGCGACGAGGAGCAGCAGAGGCAGCCTGTGCAGCAGGTCGGCCACGTAAGGGCCGTTCAAAGGGCAACAAACCGACGACAGCGGTTGACCGTCCAATGAATAAGCCCGTGGACACAAGAAAGNAACAAACCGACGACAGCGGTTGACCGTCCAATGAATAAGCCCGTGGACACAAGAAAGATCGGTGGAAGATCTGTGCTCCAACGTGCGAGTCGTGACGACAAACGAAGAAAACGACGATGTTCTGCAATAAAACTGTCGTCGTCGAAAGGGGCGCCGGGTGGGAAAAGCTTTCGAATTTCGGACCGTTGTCGACGATAGTTCGCCGCAGCAGACCGCAGGACGCCAGCCGGCAATTCGTGTAGACGGACGGAGGCCTCACGCCGACGGTTACCATTTGGAGCCGTTGGAGCGCCGTGCAGTTTTTCGACGCAGGGATGTCCGTGCTGCCGTTCGCTGGACCACGTCTGGACCACCCACAAACTGAAAGTGTGCATCGACGCATGCCTTCGCCGCTCCGAATTTCACGCTTCCTTGTGCTCCGAGGGACCTCGGGAGGTCCCTTGGGGGTTAGGAAAAAATGGCTGTGGCCACAAGGACGCCACAAGGAAATCTCCTTGTGGTGTTTTCACTTTTTTTTTTGAGAATCGTCCCCAAGGACAGGTGGAACGATCATTTCCTTGTGGATTTCGGGCCCACAAGGAGTGTCTAATGAGGCCCTCTCTCTCTCTCTCTCTCTCGGGGTGGCTCCAATACTCTTGAAATGTGCAAAATGAGAGTGAATCTTCCGCTAGAACATGGAAAGATACACTGGCATGATTATTGTCTTTTGTGCATGTTGCTGTGGTAAACCTTTGTTTTTCTTTGTCTTTTTTTTTCCCTATAATGAGTTAATCCTGTTTCTCTGTCGTTGGTTTTTGCATTTTTTTTTTCTTCTTCTTTTTTTCCCATGTTCTTCTCCATGTAGGTATGGGAAGCTAGCGCCAGGTAGTTCGAGCCTCGGCAAGGCTCGGCGTCCGAGGCTCGGATTCTATAGCTGGGCCAAGTACTGAGGGAGGCATCCATAAATAGGGACAAATAGCAATTTGGTCCAACAGGCCACCCAGACTACCCAGGTCTTATATGTGTATGAGGTTATACCTGTCGCCTGATAGCACATTAGATACTCGTCTTGCCTTCTTCGATCGCCGCGGTGAAACAGCTCAAGCACTGGACGGTCTTCAGTACTTCATCGGAATACAGATGGTTACTATTTCCTCAAGCGGCCAGCCGCACCCGGACTAGGCTGCTGCTCTGGCCGACAACGTCCAGCACCTTGATTTACACAGAGGGGTGTGGGGTGTGAATTAGAGCGGCAGTCTTAGGACGTACTGCACGAGTTCCCCAGTTCGCTTCGCTTCGGACTGTTCTCGCACTCGCGGGAGGCGACTTCAGTGGTCGCCGACCTTTTTACCGGTCTGAGAGGACACGATATTTTTTTTTGCTCTCGCACGGTGTCGCCAGCTGCGCATACTTTGGGGCGTATTATTTTGTTACGCGGCGAGGCACACCAAGGCCGGCGTGGATTCCATCCATACACCGGGATCCGTCCATACACCGACTGTAGACCGTTGCAAATCGATCGCTTCGGACGAAATGCGCAAGGGGCGGTGAAGGGGGAGGAGTGAAGCTTGAATGTAGTGCAGGCCAGGGGTCGCCGAACGCAAGAAACCGGACACGTGTGAACAGGCTTTGGCGTCTGCAGACACAGCGCGAACCCCCCGGCCGGCCGATGAAGTGTCACGGAATCCTTCGAACCCTTGCAGAAGGAACGGCAATCCAGTCAGCACGCGGCTGTAGCAGGGTGGGGACTCGCTCGTCTGGCGGCGACCGCTATTATCCCCTTTCCTCTCTTCCTTTACTTCCTGTTGCCGACTCGGCTGGAGTCGGCTCGACTCGGGAAGTCGACTGGACAATCTTTGCCGACTCCTCGACAATCTATAAACGCCACTACTTGCACTCTTTGGGCAGGGCAAGGCACTCACTTGGAGTGGGCGCAATTTGATCAGGTCCCATAACCGAGTGGGCGCAATTGGACGAGCCGATCACATCCCATAACCAGTCCTCGCGTCCGTGCGGGCAACCCGTTCGCATGGTAGAGGAGATTCCAGGTGGGTGAAAGGATTGTCAGGACAGGGGGTAGGAAGGCAAGACCGAAAATAACCCTAACTTGTGTGTGTGTGTGTGTGTGTGAGAGAGAGAGAGAGAGAGAGAGAGAGAGAGAGAGAGAGAGAGAGAGAGTCGGACCTCCGTTAGTACAGCTGGTCCAGGGGCCGGTGTTTGTTACTTACGAGCTGGTGCTTGCTTTTCTAGGCGGGCAGCTGGACGGCATGACCTGGGGAGATGAACGATTCATCGCTTGAGTGATTGGCATCCATTGATTAGTGACTGAACATAGGTTGCTGAACGCGGATTGATTGATTGTCTATTGATTGGACTCGTTGGTTTGGCCGACCGGGCTTTATGGTGGACAACCAAGATGCTGAAGTGCAGTCATTGAGCATCCGAATTGCTTGAGGCGTAGGCAAATCTCTAAAAGGGAAAACTGGCAACAAGTGTTTAGAGCTCTCGTGACGGCAGGATTGGTAGTAGAGTGTTCGTCTTGAAGGGTTGTCGTGTTGCGTTACAACACAAGTCGGTTTGGATGGTGCGGCAGGGTCGCAACATATGGTAATTGCAATCAATTAGCGCTGAGAGCAAAGCAAGCGCATAACATAACGAAAGCCTACAGAGTGCAGTTGCGTGAGTGCTTGTGCAATCCGCACGGCCAAGTGAATGATTCATGTATTCAAATCATCGCGGCCCGACACGCCGCGTGCTGTGGGTGACGTGTCCGGTTGCTGCTGCCCCATTTTTTTCTGACCAGCGTTAGCGAACGAACGTCGGTTCGTTCTTCCCTCGTCTGTGTTGCCTCAGTCCGTCAATACCCAGTGTGCTTGTTGCGCCCTACCCTCTTCGATCTCCTGTCGTGGACGCAGCGTTACTCCAAGATCAAGATATTATCGTCCATCCTGTCTTCCTGCCATCTGAGGGTCAGTTCGGAAGGTTTTATTTTTGATCCTCTCTCATTCTTTCTCCTTCAGGAACCCTTGTTTTACGATGGTGGTTGCGGTTGCTGCCGTTTTGTTGTCGACGCACATTCCTAGTGCTGTGACGCCTCTGTTTGAAGATAGTAATCATCATCATCATCATCATCACCACCATCATCATCATCATCATCATCATCATCAGCAGCAGCAGAACCATCATCATCTGAGCAACGGCCAACTGACGGCGGAGATGTTTGACGACGGCTCGTGCGCGGCGTCTTCAATTGCCCGTCGTGTTGCCGGTTCTTCCGCTTCTTTAGCGACGCCTTCTCACGTCCATACTCCTCCTCCGCATCATCATCATAATAGTAGCATCTATCTGACGCAGCAGCACCACTATCACCAGCAGCAACGCGCTGCGCATCCGGCGACATCTCCAGTCGTTGTGGCGGGAGCGCTTCGCGTTTTTCCTAAAGTGAGCGGAAGCCTGTCCTCTGCTGTCGTCCCTAGCGTCGGGGACTTGAGTAATAGGCGCGTGTTGTCCTCCGCATGTTGCTCGCACTTCGCGGTGTCGGCCACCGTCAGCTCACTACAGGCGGCGTCGCCGCCGCTTTCCGCCGGACCATGGGGAGCGTCAGCATCTGTCGGCGGCGGCGGGGGCCTTGATTGCAGCAGCGTCGTTCCGCAGTACGCGACGAAAGAAGTCGGATTCAACAATGCTAACAGCGGCGCCGCGAGAGTTGGCTTCAGTAGCCGAGGAGGTAGGGACGTTCTGGCGAAAGGCTCGTCGACGACCGCCTTCAGGTCTTGGGAATCGGAGAAGTACTCCTCCTCGAATTCGCCGACCCAATCTCCACCTCCTCCTGTGGTGCCGTCGTACCTCTCCCCGCCCAACGCGAGTGATCGCGCCGATGACGTTAGCTTGCATAATCCCTTGCGCCGTCTAGAGAGGCTGGGCTGCGGCTGGTTGGGACTAATAGTGGAGTGGGAGGGGGTAGTTGTGGAAGACGACCCCGTTACGGAATCGAAAGCTTGGGAGGCTCTTGCAGAACAGGAGGGGAGGCCGATGCCCATGGCGTTCATGATGCGCCGGGCGGAGGGTATGAAAAACGAGCAAGTGCTGTCGCAAGTCCTGTGCTGGGCGCGGGACCCGAGAGAGATACGACGGCTAGCGAAGAGGAAGGAGGAGCTATACGAGGAGATGTTGACGTCTCGGAGAAGGATGAACGTTGTCTTACCTATGGTGTTGGACTTCATCCGGTCGATGAAGAAGCATGGTGCGCCGGTGGCGCTTGCGTCAACGAGACCTCGGGCTTTCGTGGACAAAGCGCTTCAGAGATCGCGAATCGAGCCCGCCATCTTCGACGTTATCGTGACGGCGGAAGATGTAGAGCGCGGGAAACCTGACCCAGAAATGTACCTTTACGTCGCACAGGTGCTGCGGATGATACCCGAAAGACTCATCGTCGTCGGAAATGCGCACTCCAGCATAGAGGCCGCTCACGAGGCGGGAATGAAGTGTGTGGCGGTTGTCGGCCGACACGCGGCGTACGAGCTCCACGAAGCGGAGGCGGTTGTACGGCGCCTGAGCGACCTGTCTTTCCAGCACTTGATGAGCTTGGTCAGTCAGGATCCTCGTGGTGGGCTGAACGGCCTCGCAACCCCCGAGCTGCAGCCAGAACTCGAGGAGACGCCACAGCCACTGCCACGCGTCTCGTTTGCTGACTGGTGACCCCTCGTCCTCTCCTTTCGCTGTGAGCCTATGTGATGATGATGGTGATGATGATGATGATGATCTTTCGCTTTGAGCCTGCTGTCGAATGGAGGATTGAGTTTTCCAAGATGGACGAGCCGGTGTCGGGACCTCGGACGAAATTGTCAAATATGTGATGATGATGATGAGGAGGAGGAGGAGGATGTGCATGCAGTACTCTTGATTTGATTGTTATTGATTGATTGACGTAGGCGATTGATTGATTGATTGATTGATAGATTGGGTGGTTTATTGGTTGAGGAATTGTTGGTCACCGCTGCCGCTGCGGTGGAAGATCCTTGGCGAGTTGAAAACTGCCACTGCTATGAGCGTGGAATCACGGTAGCTGCCATTGAGACAAGGTGTGAAGCACTTGGCAGAAGGAAGACGGCGTTCGATGTCGTGACGACATGACGCCCGTTGAACTTGTATGCAGCACCGAGCGCGTCAACTCCTTCCCACAGACTGAAAATTTCAGATTTCGTTTCTGGTGTCCACCCGCCGTGAATTTCTCGGGCTATCTTGTAGGGGTAGTAGTGTTCGTGCTCGTGCTCTACCATGGACAGGCAGGTGCATTCCTGTCGTCGTGGGGGAAGGCGATCACTGAAGGAAAGGGGCAGCAGAGTTGTGCAAGGGTCAACGCTCACTGGAGAGGGAGAGGGGGGGGCGGGGCGGCAGTTGTGCAAGGGTCAACGGTGGATATAGGTGGTGGATGAGGCAGGCACGTGTCGGCTGCTGCTGCGATCACCAAAGCTTTCAGAACGCATCTGGGCGCGCGGACTTCCGCATGCATAAGCTTGGTGGCTTCCGGTCACCAGAAGTTGCACCTGCGTCAATTCCTGACGACAGAAGCTTAAGTGAGTGGAAGGATAGAAAGCTGACGTCAAATGATGAAGGGAAGATCGAATTTCTGTTGTAAGGGAAGGTCGAGATTCTGTTGATGTCCGTTGACTTCTGTTGAACGTTGACCAGTCTGAGAGCCACCGTTCGCCGAGATGATGCGCACCGGTGGGCTGGGGGGGGGGGGGAGAGAGAGAGAGAGAGAGAGAGAGAGAGAGAGAGAGAGAGAGAGAGAGATCGCCCCTGTCCATATAGATCGTCCGTCTGAGAGCTCGGGGTGGTCGTTAGCAGCGAGTTTGACCGTATTAAGCCTCTCTGATAATTGGACGTGGGTAGGAGTATTTGCTTTCTGTACAATGCCAGCAGAAACAAGGAAACTACCGTCTTCCCTCGAATAGAACGTGCGGTCATGATAGCCGTAAATATCTAGATTAAAAGTTGCTGTTGATGTCCGTCCGTTCTATTCGGGGGAAGAACGGTAGCAGCCTGTCGTAGTAGCCGTGGAGATGTCCCGTCAACGGGAAGGACGATGTAGGAGCTTGTGTGATTTTAGTAAGTCGACAGTCGAACGAGGCCCTCGTCAGATCGATCAAGGACAGTCCAATGAGGAACGACAGCGCGGCTGTGTACAGTATAAAGCAATCTCTTGCCTCTTGTATGATTCGCGGTTGCCTGCTTCCTGGACCATGGTGGGGGAGACCTTGGCGGTGACGGGGGGTTGCATATCCGAAGCCGCGTGAGTACTGGTTAGGGACGGTGCCCCCTCCTCGGTGTGGATTGTATATGTGAGAGAAATGGGAAGGGGAACAGAGAACCCGAGAATCTGAAGGCTGAGGGAAGGGAAATGAGCTGTTGTGAACTGCGGGGCATGTAGGGCTTTTCTTCCTCCCCGTTGCGTCGTCCCGGGTTGACTTGGCTGATTTGATTGTGTCTTAATTGTTTAACGATTAGGAAGTGATCGTCTGTACAGCCCCCACCCTCTTCTTTTTTTCTCCTCTTTTTTGTCTGACATTTAATCCAGACAGAAAGAGGGCGCGCGCCTTGGATCCGTCATCTCTTCGGACTTGTGATGACATTCGGGCTGGAAATAGATTGATAAAGTAGAAACATAGGATATGAGGACACGTCGATGTCGATGGATGGAAGGAAGGGGGAAAAATGACTGGCAGTTAGCTTTGGGGATTGAAGGTTTCCCTTTGACCGTTGGATCGAAGCATATGTCTGACACGATCGAGCCAGCCGTTGGGTCAGGTGGTCCATTATGATCATCCAGGTGGGAATACGCTGTGTTACGTCGACAAGCAAATGGTATGGTATAGAACGACCACCGGTATATTCTGATAGTTGCTGCGCAAGTGCTGGACGATGGTTTGATCGGAGGATATGAATCGAGGGAACGACTGTGGTGGGCGAGTTCCACCGTGTGGCTGGTGTTATGCGTCTCTCTTGAATACCAGTGTAGTCTGATTCGACGTAGGAAGCATCATTCCTGTGCAATTGGTGCTGGATTGGCGGCGGTGGAAAGTGTTGCGGCGTTCTCTAGTCCTCTGCGGGATTGGTCCTCCTCGTCTATGAGTGGCGAGAGCCTGGGCGGGGTAGGAGAGAGGGTGGTTCTCTGCCCACGACGGTCGCACTATGTGTGGCTATCAGAGTCCTTGTCCACTGATGGGGTCGGCAAAGTGTTCGTATTGATTTAGCATCCCTTTGTTGTTGTTGCTGCTTAATCCTCCCCGACCGTTTGCGTGTATCCTTCAGGCATTCGCGGCTCCTTGCCGCCTTTAGTTCATCATACATACTAGTATTATACCGCATACATATTATACCTATTATACCAGCCAGCCATAAGATAGGAGGTATGACAGACACAGGCAGATGCCTTTTTTTTTTTTTAGATAGAGATTAAGTAGATCGATGTATAGACGGAGAAATCAAAACAGTGGTGGATGCTATGTATTCCCTTCCCCCCCCCCGGTCCCGCGCAATAGTTGGGTCTGAGGAAGACTTCGTCTTTCGTTGAATGAATGTTTCATAGCTGCTCGACTCATGGGGCTTTCGTGGACAGATGTCCGTGATTGCTCCGGCAGTGCGTTCTTTTGATTCTTTTGATTCGGTCACGCACGTCTATTGCCCCAACAGCACGCTGTTCGTTCATTGAGGCACGCTGAGAGAGGAGAGAAGGAGAAAGAGGCTCGTCGTCGGCCCATTGGGAGAGAGAGAGGGTCTTTTCTAGTGCGCGAATAGCAACTAGTGATTGGGATCGAAACGACGAGGTATTACTGATAAGCTGGATGATTGTGGGAGATTGATCGCCGTGTGTAGGATTTGGCCATCGTGCGTGGTGGTTGCATGTTGTTGGATTGAAAACACTATCTCAGATCAGATACCAATGAATGGCCACGATTACTAGGCGAGGAAGACGCCTGTCGCGTGTTCGTGATCTTAAGAAGTAATGAGCTATGGAGCGGTGCAGAGATTCGTCGTGTGAACGTCGTCGCTGGACAACCCGGCAGAGTGGCGATGGCGAGGTGGCCGGGGTCGGGGTTTCAGCAATGTTGGGGAGCTACGGAGTGGGTTGTCTTTGAGATGAGGGGGTTGTGGATCGGGGGGGGTATTATTCTGAGGCTTGTTTTGGGGGCACGTTGGCATGATGGCAAGAGATACTGCCGGGCAGGGAGGGGTCTGCACTTTGCCTGTGTTGCTGCGCGGGGAATTAAGGAGTAAGTGGAGACCGTAGTCGATAGTACTGGTGGTGATGAGGGAACACACATGAATGTCCTGCCAGTCGCCGGCCATGGCAGTAATGTCCTTTGCACTTCAATAATGCTTGGAGTCGTCAGTAGTGGTCACTGAGTGTGTGGGAAAGGATCGATAGTACCAGAGCGTCCGGAAGGACGACCAATCATGCCCCTATAGGAGATTGGTCGTCCTTCCGCAGATTGGTCTTCCCCTGCTGTGAATTCGACGACCTCGTCGAGATGGGCATCATCTGGTCATGGGGAGCAGTAAAGAGGAGGCTGAGTTGGCTGCTATATTACCGCCCACCTATCTGTCGTTTCGTTTGTGCTGGAGGAGCGCCCTTCGTTTAACTGGATTGGGTCGGAGGTAAGTTTCGAACAGCTGAACGCGCGATGACAAGGTGATCGCCGACCCTACTACCACCGTTTAATTCACTCCAGGATAGCCTGCCGACTCTTCGGAGCAACTATCTGGTTACGGTGCATCGTTCGTTACAGTATTGAACTCCCAGTTGTGTGAGTGACAAATCATGTCGCTCTTGTCGCTCCCTCTGGTGCCTAACCTATACTGGTGCGCTGTCTTGGTCTTGCCTGACTCGTCAAATCGGCGCAGTAGACGACTCTGTCCATTCCGATCACGCGATGCGTGCGCATGCCTCTGTGTGTGTGTGTGTGTGTGTGTGTGAGAGAGAGAGAGAGAGAGAGAGAGAGATTAAAGTTTAAGTGGAGCGAAAGCTTGCGGCTTGCAACGCATCTGCCAACTCTTGCAGAGTATGATTGCTGGAAGGAGTGAAAGAGACAAACGTGTGCAAACCAGTTGTCCATTCTTCTTTTGCTTCGCTTCTTGCAACTGTCCTTCGCGCGGTTCTCGCCCATCTCCATCCCCCGCAGTTGTAGTCATTAGGGGCGGTATTTGCACAGTTGTTCGTTAGTTGTTCTAGTAGGCCTCTCGGCGACCGGTCGAGGTACTCCTATTCGCTGTCGCGATTCTGTACACCGCGTTAGACAGTCCGGAGCGGAGCTTTTCGTAACCTACCGCGCATGTATACGAAACGATAAAGTACCGAGTGGCCATGCTTTGGAGAATAGGTGGCGTTGTGAAGAAGTACCGAACGGCAGTACGGCGGCATGGCGGGCGACAAAGGACGAACGCTTGTCTACTTCGTTGTGGTAAAGCGAAAAGTTCAAGTGAGACGAGGAAAGTTGTGGGGTCTGTAGATAGTTGGTGTTGATGCCTGTCGATGAATTGGCAGTTACCTGTACAAATCTGGGGGCTAAGGGCCGTGTGGGAGAGTTGTGAGAATCTTGGTGGAGAGAGAGAGAGAGAGAGAGAGAGAGAGAGAGAGAGAGGGTATGAAGGTTGGACACAAAGCGGTGATCAAGTGTCTAAGGTGGGACCGTGTACATTTATAAGGCTTAGCGCCTCGTTTGTCCTTTCTTGAAAATCCTCTTTCTCGTGTGTTACTTGGGTATGGGAGTGGGAGGAGGGTGGTGGCCTACTGTTCTGACATTGGGGCCAAACAAGTCCAGAAAACGAGAATGGACAGCAGTCTGCGGCTTGGCCGTCTCTTCTGGAAATCCATAGTCAATTGAGTGATTGGTCTAATTGATGTGGGTGAAAGCGATCGTAAATGGGACCGCTTTTCGTGGAGTTTGCTAATGTTCAAACGAGACGATATTGATTCGATCGAGGTAAATGGGAGAAGAGAGGAATGGTTCGTCCTCGGTGAAGGGCTAGCTGCGCGAACTATTGCGCAGTGCAAGGAGGCGAGCGTAACATTTTTATGTCCTGAGATTGGCGGTGTTTCTGATCGATCACGCTAACGAACTCGACTCCAGGAGCAGCGTGGATTGCTTCCGATGGATGATTCTTAGGAAGGGCAGGTAGTGTCAATAAGGTCTCTGGGATCCGGTGGCGTTTCGCCACCCACCTTATTGGCATGTTCTGTCATGAGATTGGCGGCGTTTCAACGCCTTTCGCCTCATGTCAATAAGCTGGCAAAAGGCGTTGAACAAGGGGTCGGGGTCATGATGACGGACTCTTGGAGTGCGAGGGGTGCGGGGGCGGGGTTGGTGGCCGCATGTGCATGTCCGTTTCGCTTTTAGGTACGGGCATGTGCGTGCGTGCCTGTGTTTGTGCGTAATTTCTTGTGTGTGTGTGTGTGTGTGTGTGTGTGTGCGCGCGCGTTGCAGAGGAGGAAATGGGTGCTCATGCGTGTGTTTGTGTGAATTTCGGGGGGTGGGCGCGTGTGTGCATGTGTGTGTGTGGAGAGAGAGAGAGAGAGAGAGAGAGAGAGAGAAGAGCGGAGGCGAAATTTCATAAGTTGTGAGATTCTGCTGCATGTACAGTTTGTGTCGGAACGCGAGGAAGAAGCTTGGTTGTTGGAGGGTGGTAGCGAGAGGAGTGGTGCTAGTCATGGCGGTGACGAGGCAGAGAATGTACATATTTGGGCGCTCGCCCTTGTAACATTAGAAATGGCTTTGTCCTTGTGGACATGTTTCTCCTCGAAGCGTGTCCTTGTGTCCATGTTTCTCCCTCTCCACGTCTTTGTAACTCTCTTTTCCCCTCTCTCCCTCTCTCCTTCTCTCCTTCTCTATATTGCTCTCCTTCTCTATATTGGATGAACTGGGTCCGTGTCCGACACGACTGATCTTTAGAGTGACTCAATGCTGACGTGTGCTTGAGGAGTCGTGGCGTGTGTACGTTCTACTTGACACGCACTTGTTACTTTGGGTGCTATCTCCCTTCTTCTACTTCTTTTCGGCCTGTCAGTCTGCACTGCCGTTTCCTTTTGGCGGATTTTCCTTCATCCAGCAACCCCTACTTTTCTCTCTCCTTCCACGGCTGTTTCTTCGTGTTCCCCTGTTGTCTTCTGTCTTTCCTTGTGGGTCTTTTTTTTTTTTTTTTTTTGGTCGTAGCTTGGTCGTCTGTTTGCGTGCTTCATTCTCTCCCCTTCGATGTCAGTTTCATGTTAGTCAGCTGATGGATTACCTGCATAAGGACTCGAAAATTCGTAACTACTTAATGTTGACGGTTTTCTTTTTATTGACGTCTTTATCCTTGTGTTGTTGTTTAGGTGCTGTTGCCGCTGTTGAGGATTCGATTTTGAAATGGTCATTGCCAACATGCACCCTGATATCTGCTGGCCTCGTGCACATCATACACTGCCGATTGCCCGTTCAGGTACCGCCGGGGGCTTGGTCCCACTTACACGAATTAAGCGATATCGACCGTAGATAGCAAAGATCAACGGCCAGAATCTCTTAATTCGTGTAAGTGGGACCTTGCCCCGGGTAGTGACAGCCGTGGCTGTGTGCAATGGACTCCTGCTGCATGGACACGCGTGGGAATGTTGAGTTCATGGCGTGCGGATTCTGAGTCCAGATAAGGCATACGAAGCGACGATTTATTATTAGGGGTAACTTCAGTAGAGTCACAAAAACGAGTTCGAATTGCCCACTGAGGCAAGATTCGGTTTGCAATTGCACTTCGGGCACCCTACCTGACCAGAAACCTGGGTTGTATACGTCCCCGAACTGCAATTCGAAACCGTCTCTTGGCCCATAGTGCAATTATACTTGTCTTTCTGTATCCGGCGTAGTTTCCCCTTATTATTATTATTATTATTATTATTATTATTATTATTATATTTTTTAAAGCCAGGATATTGGTCCGACATACCTGATGTGTTTTATCGACTTTTAAGTTTTATGTGAGTTTCATATTCCGGAAACCAAAACACGTGATGATGTATTCGGCCCCCGCCACACCACTCCCGTCCGACTTGGGAAAATCTTCAGGAGCGCTCCCCGCTGTAATGAAAGTTTTGGAAAAAACAAAAACAAAAAAAAAGCCCGGTGGGGAGAGGCTTTAGCCACACTACACTCTCGACCCGGCCGGGCGCCAAGTCTGAAAATGTTATTTGCCACATGCGGACACGAAAATGTTATTTGCCACATGCGGACACGAAAATGTTATTTGCCACATGCGGACACGATCAGTGTGAAGCAGTCTGGCGGAAGTGGTTTGCCCCTTCCAGCACCACTCCCAAATCTGGGATGAAACTAGGCGTCCCAAATCTGGGATGAAACTAGGGGCCTTGCCGCACGGTGCACGAAACGAAAAAAAAAATCGACTTCCTTTCGTGAAGGAGTTGCCGCACAGCACCCACACGACCTCTGTCAGAAAAAAAGTTGTGAATGCTGTCAGACTCCAAGTTTGCGAGGCCTCACGAGTGTGCCTACTCCTCCCTGTGTTATGAACTTGGTTGTCTGACAATTTGTTGCCACTCACACACAGAAGAACTCACACATGCCCATACATGTATGAGACAAAGGGGAGGAGATAGAGTCCAACTGCACACAGACCAGAGATAAGCAGCGGGAAAGTATGAGACAAAGGGGAGGAGATAGAGTCCAACTGCACACAGACCAGAGATAAGCAGCGGGAAAGCAACCATGAACAGAAGGGGAGAATACACACAGTGTTTCTCTCTCTCTGACACACTCCCAACAAACAATCACAATATGACACTGTGAAGATCACAATTGGAATACAACACAGATGATGAGCCAACTCAACTCAATTAACCCCAATTATCGTTACAGAGTCAACCCAATGTCTCGCCACCCCAGTACCACACACTCCACTCACTACTCCACTCTCAGAGTCTAGCACTGCACTAAAACAGCCTCCCAGAGGCCAGCGCCATACACCTAGATGAAGATCATGAACAGCGATGTAGCGCCCAGTGCCGATGAGTCACTCTGACGATGAAGAAGGCAGTTATGGCTACCAGGCTGCTACCATAGCAGCAGTGCCCACATGTACCCAGTGAAGAGCCTCCGAATAGCCCTGCCAAGCGCAGATACCCCCAGAGGGTAGATGCGCTGAGACCAGCTCCAGCTATGGCTGTCTCAGGAAGGCCGGCTATGGATGACTCCCGTAGCTGAAGTCTCAGGTGCCGCTGTAGACTTTCAGCGCTCCACAACTTTGTTGGCCCCGAACGCTGCAATGCGAAAAATGAAAAGCCAAAAGTCCCCAACCGATTTTCCTTAACTCCTTGTAGACTTCCTACTCTGGCCTAGACCTAGACCGGACTGACTGACTGACCGGTACCGTTGCTGTTTCGGCCTCTCGGCCTCAACCGGACCCGGCTATAGGCTATAGGACCGTCTAGCAGAATAGGCCACTTGGGGCCTGTCTGTCCTAGGGGTAGCCCGGGCCTGCTATATGCAGTTAGGGTAGCTGTAGGAATTCGGGTAGTACCGGGCCTGTATTTTCCCGGAATTGCAGATCTGTCCCCCTACTGTCCTAGAGGCTTGACTGTTTTCTAGAGGATAGTTTGATTCTCCATTTGACAAAATGTATGTGCTACTTATTTGCAGGTCGGGTCAGGAAATCGGGTTCAAAGCGGGTCCAAAATGGGTCCAAAATGGGCTGAAAATCGGGTCAGGAGTTCAAAACGGGTCCAAAATGGGTCTAACATATTTTGGACCCATTTTGAACCCGTTTCGAACTCCTGACCCGATTTTCAGCCCATGTCAGCCACAACTTTGACTCGACCTGTGCTGGCTGATCCAGCCTTAGACATGAGTGCAGCAGCAGCTGTAAATACTCCATGCAACGGGCCTACGTAGCGCTGTTGGTACACCAATGAGCTGTTGAAGTAACAGACCTAGTTCGAACCCACACGCAACAACCGAAATGACCAGAAAAGACTGCATGGCTTCACACACCGAGGTTATGTATGAGTGAGGGCTCAGTGCAAGCGTACACCAATGAGCTGTTGAAGTAACAGACCTAGTTCGAACCCACATGCAACAACCGAAATGACCGGAAAAGACTGCATGGCTTCACACACCGAGGTTATGTATGACTGAGGGCTCAGTGCAAGCGCACAGCAGGGCTTTCTGCATCCGTCCAAAAGCTCTGGTCTAAAGATGCGTCAATCAGGATTGACGTGAGTTCACATTAACCAGCAACCCAAGCAGTGAGCCACAATGTTTCATTCAGTGCACCATTCAGCTGAAACCAACCGAGGTGCAAAGATGGCGTGGACGATTTGGGATGCCTGCAGTGTGGTGACTGGCGGGGACTGCAGTGAGGTTGCCGCTCTCTGCGTCTCTCCAGGCAATTGTAAAACAGGAAACCCCGACAGAACGGCCATGATTTTGAGTAACCAGTGTGACTTGGTGCTTGTGAAACTAAAATCTTTTGTAGATCAGTGGAAGGTCCGCTTAAACAATACAATTCGGGTGTGTACCATCTTCAAGATCATTTTGAAACAAACGGTCCATAGTCGGAGGTACAGTCAAAAAAATAATTTTGAAACAAACCGTCCATATTCGGAAGAAATAGAGAATAACCGCCTAGACACGAAGAACCTTTTCTATTCAACGTCAGTTCCTCGTTGTCGTGATGGTGCATGAGCCAGCCACAAGTGCAGTGCAATAGTGAGAATGAATTGTATACTTGCAGGTCGGTGATCTCCAACTGACCAAAGAGAGAGAGCATCAATCAGTGGTGCAGGCCTGTTGATTGCGTTTTTTCTGGCCGTCCGGTACTTGTCTGGGGCGGTACCAGACTGCGTGAGTCGAGCGAACCATGGCGGAGGATCGCGGAACCTAGAGTCTGAGTGGGAAAGAGACAGGGGAACAGGGAAATGAAGGGAGAGCTTGGAAAAGTAGGGGTATAACAACAGGGTGAGACAACTGGAAGGTGCGCAGGGGAATGATTCAGAAGCGGAGAGCTCAGGATACGTGTAAAATAAGGGCAAGCAAGCTGGCAGTGTTGAATGTTTTTCTCTTTTTTTTTTTTTTTAATCTTCTGTCTTTCATAAAGCGCAACGGCCTTTGAGATATCATTACGGAGCTGACCGGCCCTACCGGAGGTGGTTCAGAATTGTTTTTTTTTTTTTTTTTGGTCAGCTGCTCTCAGTGGAGTTGGAACTAAAAAAAAAATAATAAAATAAAAAAAATCAGGTCTGTCTTTCAGTTTTCAACAGTTCAGGGGTGTAGCAACTGAGATAGGCCAAAAAAAAAAAAAAAAAAAAAAAAAAAAAAAAGCAACTGAGATAGGCCAGTTGGCGACAGTGTTAATTAAATGTGGCGCTGGGAGACCTGTCAGGCAAGTTCTCACTAGATTTAGCCACAGTGAGGAGGGTTCTCCGTACGTGTGTTGGACTTGGTAGATGCAGTCCAGACTCTCTAAGGCTCTTGCCTGTGGCTCTGCCTGTGAGGGTTTTAGGGAACAACTACTTTTTGTTTTGAGACGCCTTTCCTGGCCGAAATTTCAAGCGCGTGTCCCTGTGTCTGTGCACTGCCTGGCGATGCTGCTGGTGTGCCTGCACTACCTGACGATGCCAGCGGAATCCAGTTTCTGACACATGACCGCACATGACCGTCGTGTGTGCGCACGAAGCCGATTTTGGCACATGCATCTCTGAGGTTATAAGGCGAACGGACACCCCACTGAGTGTACAGTGTACTCCTAGGGCCAAACCTGAAGCTGCCGCATATGGCTTAACTAGTACTACCGTCTTCCCCCAAACAAAACACACCCTCATTCTGGGTGTAGCAGGTTGGAAAGGTTCCTTGTAATATATTCCTGGTGAGGGTGTGTTGTGTTTGGGGGAAGGGTTTCTT